AGAGAGACAGAGAGACAGACATCAATTGGTTGCCTCCTGCATGCACCCCGACCAGGGCCAGGGATTGAACCTGCAACACAGGTACATGCCCTTGACCAGGAATCAAACCAGTGACCCTTTGGTGCATGGGCAGACATTAACCACTGAGCCATACCAGCCAGGGCTCCCTGAACTTTTAATCACAATCAGATTCACTTTTCCTAAAATGTCATATAAAATATTTTTATACCCCAATTTCTATCTAATTAAGTCTGAGATACTGGATTGCATTAATGGTTCTCTTTTCTTTGAATGGCTGACAGTAAGTATTTTTTAAGTATCAGGAGCAATATTAAGCAGGGACAAAAGGAGGGGACAACAGTTCAGACATTAAAGATGAAAAAGACAACCAAATTCAAAGTTTAAACCTTGACTGGATTCTGGCACTTTAAAAAGTGCTATAGAAGGTATTTGGGATATAGCTTGAAAAATGTAAAATGAATATTACGTAATGTTAGGGTATTATGGTTAATCGTTTAAGATGTGATAATGATATTTTGGTTATATAAGAGAATGCTACTATTTTTATAAAATGCATACTTAATTTTTTAGGAGTGAAGTGTCACATTTCAGCACACAATACACATGCACAGGGATCTGACACATAAAACAAATGTGCTAAAATATTAATTACTGAATCTATGTGGTGAGCATGTAAAAGATCACTATTCTTTTTTTTCTAAGAGAAATGCTTTTTTTTTTAAAATATATCTTTATTGATTTCAGAGAGAAGAAAGGAGAGTGAGAGAGAGAGAGACAGAAACATCAATGATAAGAGAGTCATTGATCGAGCCACAACCCGGGCATGTGTCCTGACTGGGAATCGAACCCCGATCGCCTAGGTCGACACTCAACCGCTGAGCCACGCCCAGCTGGGCAACTATTCTTTCAATGTCTGAAAATTCCTAAGACAAAAAAACTGAGGCTCTGGCCAGTGTGGCTCAGTTGGTTGGGAGTGTCATCCCATACACTCAAAAGGTCGCTAGTTTGATTCCCAGTGAGGGCACATAACAGGTTGCGGGTGCAATCTCTTGTTGGGGCATGTAGGAGAGGCAACCTACCAATGTTTCTCTCTCTTCCTCCTTCTCCCTTCTCTCTCTCTCAAATCAATAAATCATAAAAAAAAAACTTCTACAGTTTTAAAAAATTGAGGAAGATTATTTAACAAGTAGCTTATATGTAATCAAAACTGAGGACAGTAAGAATAAAATGTGGGCCTTCCTTTCAATTGGTTTATAATTCCAGACATCAAATTATAAAAATATGATAGTATTTACTAAGAACATCTAAATTTCTGTGGAAACTGCTAAGTAGCATGGACGATCAGAAGAGACATTAATAAAAGAGGAAGTAACAGGCTTAAATGATATAGGAGTACAGCATTTCACAATCAAAGGCCAAGATTCAAATATATTCATATGGTTAATACATCACTTCTTGATTAGACTAGTCTATCTTTTTAAAGGCTTGACCAATCATATCACAGGACCATGAGGAAAAGAAATAACCCAGACATAAGAAACTGGTTTGAAGTGATCTCTGGACCTGAAAATAATGAGCTGAAATCTCTGTTTTGAGTAGGATATTAACGATTTCACTGTCTGACACAATAAGAATGAAGTCAGTTAGACAGCTGTTTATCCTATAAACAGGTAATAATATGACAGGCAAGACAAAAAAGTTGGAGGTGCCAAAATAAAAATTGGTATTATAAAAAGAATTACTTCTAACTTCAGAATGGATGAGTCCTTTCTGGGAATTAATTTATACAGGGAAAAAGGAAAGACAGAATGCAGTATTCTAGGAGCCAACTCCAGCAAGAGGAGAGAGAGAAGAAAAAGATGGAACAACAGAAAGATAAAGCAACATCTAAGGTCATCAAAGCACCGATCAAGCAGAAGTAGGAGAGAATTCCTAGAGGAGTAGCTCAAACATCACATAAATACTTTCTCATATAATGGTAAAATAAAGACATCTCTGCCCACTTTTCATGACTGTGAAGGAAAAAGAGAAACAGAAAAGAAAAACTGCACTGTTTGTAAGAGTAGGAATTAGTTATAATCCTGATGTTTTCTGAGAAAGGTTGTGAGTGGGCAGCTGCCATTCCTATTTTTAGGAAGAGCTCTCATGCACAATGCTCTCCAAAAACATAAGGCACAGCCTCAAGGGCCATATAAACCTCCTTGTTTATAACTGTAACAGAGTTCAGGAATGTTGGCTGGAGAGATGGTGGGCCCACTGCATCCCTGAGTAGTGGGAAAAGTAGGACTAAGCAGAGAAATGCAAAGACACCATCATTTTATAAAGCAGCTTGTAAGTATAGCATAATAGAAAAGGTCACAACTTTCTATCTCCCTAAATTCCTGACTTGTTTATCCAACTGCCTACCTGAATATGAACTTATATGATCAGCAGATATATAACAATTCACAAGTCCAAAAGAAAACTCTTGATCTCCAAAATTACTGAAGTCTTCCTATTTCAGTAAATGATAACTCCTCTTTTAGTTAAAACCTTGGAGTTGTCAGTCAATCCTGTCAGCCATTCCTTTAAGAATCTGCCCAGCTGGGGATGGCTCATCAGTTGAGCATCGACCTAGGATCCAGGAGATGGAGGTTCGATTTCCAATCAGGGCACATGCCTGGGTTGTGGGCTCCATCCCCAGTCGGAGGCGTGCAGGAGGCAGCTGATCAATGATGACTCTCTCATCACTGATGTTTCTATCTCTCTCTGTCCCTCTCTCTGAAACCCATAAAGATATATATATTTTTTAAAAAGAATCTAATTACCTGTCGCCAGCTCAACTACGACCTTCTTACCTAGATTACTGCAACAGCCTCCAATTACTCTCCTAGCCTTGCCCCCCACACACACCTTATTTTCCATACAACAGCTGAAATGTAATTCTGACCTTATTTATTACTCTTCTGCTCAAAACCCTTTGACGTCTCCCAAATCACTCAGAACAAAGGCCAAAGTCTGATTTCGCCTGTTACCTAACCAAATCTTAATCTTTTGTGTTCACTCTGCTCCAGCACACTGCCCTGATCACTATTCAACACTGAGCGCAGCCTCAGGGCTTTTAACATTACTTTTTGTACCTTCTGGCTGAATGCTCTTCCACCAAATACTGCACGTCCCACTTTCACACTCTTTAGATCTTTTTAAAAATGTCTTGTTGAAAATATAAATATACCACATTGGTAGAAATGTAAATTGGTTTGCTTCTTTTGAGAACAATGTGCCTATTTCTATTAAATCTATAAATATAACTTTGGCCCAGCATTTCCACTTATAGTAAATTACTATGTAGTTGTATCTGCATACCTTTGCAAAGCAATATAAACAAGTATATGCACTTGTGTCTTCAATAGCATAAGCATGGAAACAATCTAAATAGCCATTAATAGGAGATGTGTTGTTGATAGAGAATCTACCCCCCCCAAAAAAACAAAACTATATACACAATATATACTACCATTTAAATAAAAAGAAAAACTAAGGGCTCTTATATACTCATATTTACAGCATGGATACATAATATATGCTAGCTTATTCATAGACTACCTCATGAAGGACATATGTAAAACTCTTAAAAGTGACTGCAACTTTGCCCTGCCAGTGTGGCTCAGCTGGAGCGTCATCCTGTACACCAAAGGGTTCGATTCCCAGTTAGGGTACATACTCAGGTTGCAGGTTCAATCTCTAGCTGGGGCTGGTGCAGGAGGCAACCAATCTCTCTCCC